GGAGATGATTAATAAAATTGTACTGTATGTGAGACTTGTGCTAAATGAGTAGATCTTCTCTTGCCACACACAAAAAAAGGTATGTATGTGAGATGATAGAAATGTTAATTTGCTTCACTAGAGTAACCTTTTTACTATCTATATGTATCCTATAACATGTTGTATAGCTTAAATATACACAACAGAATTTACTTTAAAAAAGAATACGTTTTTACCAATAGCCTCTTTAAAAAAAAGAAAAAAAAAAAAAAAGAAATACAGGTTCAGGCTGGGCGCGGTGGCTCACACCTGTGATCCTAGCACTCTGGAGGGCAAGGAGGGCGGATGCTTGAATCAGAGTTCGGAAACCAGCCTGAGCAAGAGCGAGACCCGCGTCTCTACTATAAATAGAAAGAAATTAATTGCAACTAATATATATAGAAAAAATTAGCCAGGCATGGTGGTACATGCCTGTAGTCCCAGCTACTGGGGAGGCTGAGGCAGCAGGATCGATTGAGCCCAGGAGTTTGAGGTTGCTGTGAGCTAGGCTGACGCCATGGCACTCACTCTAGCCTGGGCAACAAAGCGAGACTCTGTCTCAAAAAAAAAAAAAGAAATACAGGTTCATACATATTTATTGGTTATCAATATATGTTTGTATATATACTTATAGCACTTTATCAAATATATATATTATACATATATTAAAAGTAATATTATATATTATATACATATTTATATATATTTGAAAGGGAAATATTTCATCTGTTTATTCCCTTCAAACCTTATATAGTATTGTATAAAAGTTTCATTCCTGATTTTTTTTCCCTCTAAGTCTCTTAGGTTACCCAGAACCCATTAAAATAAGGTAAAATGAATTCCCTAAATTAACTTTTTCCTATTAGGGGTTTCATGTATTAGAAGCTATCTAAAATCTTCCCTTTTCTTAGCTCTCCAATCCCTCTCCCCTCTCAGAGTATAGGAAACATTTAACTAGCTTCTAAATCTAACATAGTAGGGAACATGGAGTTGAAGTCAAATCTCACATCTCTTTCTAATAACTTATAAGGTTTGGGAAACAATTTAGGAATCATTCGATAGGTTGGGGGATAGGAGAAGTAGACATATAATTACTAATGTATTTGTCAAGAATTTTCTGGGTTCTTACAAGTCAATATTATGACATCTAAGAATGTTGTATATGTGTATCACTTTGTGGCTATGTATGCAACTCCTGCAACTCTTCTGTGTGTGTGTGTGTATGTATGTATGTATGTGTGTGTGTATATATATACATAGAGAGAGAGAGACAGACAGACAGACAGACAGACAGACAGAGTAATGTGAATGTTGGATTTTTAAACATTTAATTAATTTAATTTATTTTGAGACAGGGTCTTACTCTGTTGCCCAGGCTCAAGTGCAGTGATGTGATCATAGCTCACTGTAGACTCAAACTCTTGGGCTCAAGCAATCTTCCTGCCTCCGCTTCCTGAGTAGCTGACTATAGGCTCATGCTACCATGCTGGCTAATTTTTTTCCTTTTTTTCGTAGAGATGGGGTCTCACAATGTTGCCCGGGCAGGTCTCAAACTCCTGGGCTCAAGCAGTCCTTCTGCTTTGGCCTCCCAAAGTGTGGGATTATAGGAGTGAGCCACCACATCCAGCCCCTGTTGGGTGTATTTAAACTAAAGCATTACTATACTGCTTTTTCTCTTGTTATTGACAAGTAGGGTATAATGTGTTTCTTTCCCTGTTTTGGGAAGTGTTTTAGATGCATTTGCTTTAGTAATTTGTGAGTTCTTATACTCAGGGTTAAATTTTAAAAATAACTTTTATTAGTTTTTAGTATTAAATGTGAGACCTGTTCATTTTTAAAAATCAGGGCCAGGCATACCTGTAGTCCCAGCTACATATACATACACAGGAGGATCACTTAAGCCCAGGAGTTGGAGGTTGCAGTGAACTATGATGATGCCACTGCACTCCAGCCTGGGTGACTAAGTGAGACCCTGTCTCAAAAAACACAACATGGCCGGGCGCGGTGGCTCACGCCTGTAATCCTAGCTCTCTGGGAGGCCGAGGCGGGCGGATTGCTCGAGGTCAGGAGTTCGAAACCAGCCTGAGCAAGAGCGAGACCCCGTCTTTACTATAAATAGAAAGAAATTAATTGGCCAACTGATATATATATATAAAAAATTAGCCGGGCATGGTGGCGCATGCCTGTAGTCCCAGCTACTCGGGAGGCTGAGGCAGGAGGATCGCTTGAGCCCAGGAGTTTGAGGTTGCTGTGAGCTAAGCTGATGCCACGGCACTCTAGCCCAGGCAACAGAGTAAGACTCTGTCTCAAAAAAAAAAAAAAAAAAAAAGCTGAAGTAAAAAGACCAGTTTTAGGGGCTCAACACTTTCTTCATTGTTTGAAGGAGATGCCTCGGTAGAGAGATTTGAGTATAGGTGAGATTGAAAGAGGAAATGTTTGGGACTAAAGGAATTTCATACTCGTAAAGGGCCTAACCACGCCTTCCCTGACATCATCTCCCTGGCATGTGTTATTATAATTTAACTCCTCATAACATCAACAACAATTTCCTTTGGGCAAAAAGAAAAGGGACTGTGTTAACTTGGGATAATTTGCCTTCCCCAACATATTTTGCATAAATTAATATTTCTTCTTGATATTAATATATTGAAGACCAGTGTTAGGCAGGAGGCAGTGATCTAAGTAGGACTCATAGGTGGATATTGCCAGATTCTCCCTCTTTTGAGAAACTTGACTTACCTGACATTGTCAACAGTGTTTACTCAGGAGGGAGAAGAGAATGGGAAATAATACTATAAACACTTATGCCTCTGACTGGGAGAGAGAATTTTCTCTGTATTTACTACATTTACTTCTAGTTTCCATTAAATCAAATTTAATAGAACTGAGAACTCAGAACTTTTAGGTGTAACATCTGCCTGGGGCAGCTATTAGTTCTGTTATCAGTAATAAGTTAACTCAAATTGTTAAAGTTTAGTGAGAAGGTCTTTCCATTGATTCCTCCTTTCCATTTTTAGCACTACTATTCTAATTTTTATGCCCTCATTACTATTTTCACTATAGTAATAAACATCCTTAATGATCTCCTTGCTTCCTATTTCTCTATCCCCTACTCCTTGCCCCCAAGTAATTTTATACCTGCTGCCAGCAGAACAATCTTCCAACAACCCAATAGTCTAGTGCTTAGTATTTCCTGTATAAAATACTTTTTGTTGTTTTTAGAGACAGAGTCTCACTTTGTGGCTCAGGCTGGAGTACACTGGCACAATCATAGCTAGGATGACAGACATGAGCCACCATGT